GGGGGGGATATATTACAGTGACACCTGGAAGTGGGGGGGGGATATATTACAGTGACACCTGGAAGTGGGGGGGGGATATATTACAGTGACACCTGGAAGGGGGGGCAGGAAGTGAATATTTTGTCCCCGAAGCTGATGGAAGCAGACATAATGGACAAGTGGGAGGATTTGAGGGACGTCGATAAGGACCAAACCGTCCTCTATCTCACCTTCTCCGGGGTACAGGCGCAGTCCTCGGTGAACGGCCAGTTGCTGAAGGTCCGGACGCGGGTGTCCAGCTGGTACAGCCGCCATTGGTCGGGTAGTTCAGGTTCCCCGGGCGCGGGATTCGGCAAGACGAGAGGAGACCCGTGCACCATGTCGCAAGATTCAAAACCCGTGACGTCACACCAACCCAGTGCACCATGGGAAGAAACTTCCGCCCGCCTTCGCCTCACGTGACCAGAGAGGCCAATAGCCTGCGAGCTGTGCGTGACCCGGGGAACGGAACTACGACTCCCAGCATTCTTCGCGCCGCTAGCTGCTTCAAACTTATCAAAGTGACAATAAAATAAGGAAAAACTGTGGTGTAGGTGATAACAAAAAGAAAAAAAAGCAGTTGCAGTATGAATCAATTTATTTTAATATATATGTCATAAAGGGACTCCTCTCAGGGGGCTGTGTATTAAAGGGGTGCTGCGAAAACATTCTTCTTAGCAAAAAGTAGAAGCCGGTTGGTTGTTGTGGGCAACAACTTTTAAAAATTGTGTTGCCCAGGGCAACCAGTTTGTATTACTCTAAAAAAACAGGTGATTAACAGAATATGAGGACATATCCTCTGTCTTCCGCTCTGGGGTACAGGCTCAGTGTATGAGGACATATCCTTTATCTTCCTCTCTGGGGTACAGGCTCAGTGTATGGGGACAGGTCCTCTTTATCTCCCTCTCTCTGGGGTACAGGCTCAGTGTATGGGGACAGGTCCTCTTTATCTACCTCTCTCTGGGGTACAGGCTCAGTGTATGGGGACAGGTCCTCTTTATCTACCTCTCTCTGGGGTACAGGCTCAGTGTATGGGGACAGGTCCTCTTTATCTACATCTCTCTGGGGTACAGGCTCAGTGTATGGGAACAGGTCCTCTTTATCTCCCTCTCTCTGGGGTACAGGCTCAGTGTATGGGGACAGGTTCTCTTTATCTCCCTCTCTCTGGGGTACAGGCTCAGTGTATGGGGACAGGTTCTCTTTATCTCCCTCTCTCTGGGGTACAGGCTCAGTGTATGGGGACAGGTCCTCTTTATTTGCCCTCGAGGAGGTTACAATCTAAGGTTCCTCTCTCACATATAGAGCGATTTAACCTTCCAGCATGTCTTTGGCGTGTGGGAGCCCAGCACAGGGAGAACATGCAAACTCCATGCAGATGGTGATCAGACTGGGGGATTTGAACCAATGACCCCTCAATTCCGCAATACTTCCTGTTGTGGCTGTGGGACAGGAAGTGAGGGGAAATCTCCCCAATGGGAGGGTCGAAAGGAAAAGAAATCTTGCGAGGGTTGCAACTTCTTTACTCTTCCAAATCTAGAATAAAACGTTTTGTCTTCAGTTTTCCTTTAATTCTAAACACAGTTCTAGTCCCAGGTGACTTCCTGCCGTGTATGGGGACAGGTCCTCTTTATGCCCCTCCCCCCGGTGGTCTGCCGGAGTCCTCGTCACTGTTTCAGGATCATCTCTAGAAGAAGCTGAGAATGAAAATGAATCAATTTACTAAAAATAAATAAAAAAGATCGACATTTATTATTTCTGATGAAAAACACAATTACTGCCTTTCCTAACGCGTTCTCAGGACCCGCAGTGCCGGAACCAGGACCTGGGCCGCATTCTCAGGACCCGCAGGGCCGGAACCAGGACCCGGGCCGCGTTCTCAGGACCCGCAGTGGCGGAACCAGGGCCTGGACCACATTCTCAGGACCCACAGTGCCGGAACCAGGACCTGGGCCGCATTCTCAGGACCCGCAGTGCCGGAACCAGGACCTGGGCCGCGTTCTCAGGACCCGCAGTGCCGGAACCAGGACCTGGGCCGCATTCTCAGGACCCGCAGTGCCGGAACCAGGACCTGGGTCGCATTCTCAGGACCCAGGCCGCATTCCCAGGACCTGGGCTACATTCTCGGGACCCGCAGTGCCGGAACCAGGAGTGAAGTCAGGAAAGGAATAAATATCAGAATGGATTGTGGGTGCGATGCTCTGACTCCTGCAGACTCTTCCTCCAGTCCCTGACATTCAGTAACATGGACGCATGGAGGAAGTATGAATGGCTACAAGTCAATCTGGATACAAATGAGTAAAATAAACATGAGATTGTAGTCCATCCCGGGGGGCGGAGCTTGGAGCGGTGACTACTTTACAACACACACAGGGACCATGGGGAACAGACGTAGCCCCCCTCCAGAAGGAAGGACAGTGTCAGAGATGATTGGAGGATCTACAGCCGAGTGACACACAAATAAGATACATTGTTGCTCAGAGTTCGGGGACTCGGAGAGATTTTTAGAGTTTAGTGTCACTTTAAGCTTTGAGAATGAAAGCTGGAAGCTGATTGGTTGGGCAGAGGCTCCAGTTGTAAATAATTCCCCCAAATGTGTTGCAGTGTTAATGGGCTCTGCGTGTTTGTGAACGCTGACGAGTTCCCTTTCAATGCAGCCCCGCATGGAGGGTGTGTGTTGTTAGTACATGGGGCGTGTGCAAATCTCACCTGAGTGAGGACATAATCTTCCCGGGATAAGCGTTCTATGACATCAAAGTGATCCGCGTCCTCCACCTGCCGGTACGAGACGGAGACTCCCAAATCCTCCAGACTCTGCGAAGATGTAACATGTCCGTGGAAACTTTTTAAATATTTTATTTTTATTTATTTTTTATAAACTTTCTAATTTTTTTAATTAATTCATTTTGTATTAAATATTTAAATTTTTTACTTTGCTTTTAGGGGCTTCGGGGAAATATTGGGGGACACACAGAGTCCTCCGAGACACACAGAGCCCTCCGAGACACACACAGAGCCCTCCGAGACACACAGAGCCCTCAATCTCTTTATGTTTACTACAACCACAATTATGAATGAACAGGAAGTGATGTAGGAGGTGATGAAGATCACTTCCTATTCATTCAAAATTGAGGATACAGTAACCATACCATATCCTCAATTATCTACAAACACTCAACGATCACTGATCACCGACTCCTTGTACCCGCTCTCCTCTCTGGCACGCTGTCTCCTCCCCCCACACCGCTCTGCCGGACTGTGATAGGCGGCTGAGCGGGGTGGTAGGAGAGACGCGGGCCGCTCACGGTGGTCTCCTCCCGCAGCGCTCGGCCGGCTGTCACTTTCTCTCCTCCCCGCTGGGACACAGAGCAGCGCACAGCGGGGAGGAAAGAAATTGCGGCTGCGCAGATAAAATGGCACTTTGTCGGCGCCCCCCCCTTCAGCTTTACGCCCGGGGCCAGCGCACCGGCCGCCCCCCCCCCGGTTGTTACGCCACTGCTGGTACGGTATTACACTCCAGCAGCAAGTGTCACAGTTCACAATGCAGAATGTTCATCAGGTATTCCTGTGCGGTGCTCCGGAGCAATCACCGGGGTTTGCCTCTCTCAACCGCACAGCTGCAGCAACAGGAAGTGTGCGCACCTCATAGGGGAGGGTGGATTTTACTTCACATTAGTCGTTCCCATCTACCTCCTGGTAAATGCTGTTCATACTGTAGATCAGGGGTGGGCAACCTCGCCACTCTGGCTGTGGTGGAACTACATGTCCCATGGGGGCACTGCAAGACTCTTAACAGCCACAGGCATGACTCCCAGAGGAAGAGACATGATGAGATTTGTAGTTTGATCACAGCAGCCATGCCAAGGTTGCCTGCCCCTGCAATAGCTGTTACCTGGAAATATTCACGTGATTGCCTGTGGAATTCCGGGGAATCGTGTTCGGCAACCACAATGATCAGGTGACAGTTGTCAGCGTTGTTTTTCAGCAGTTTTGTGAGTTGTCCGGGGCTGTTCCTGACCGCCGCCTCCCTGCGGATGGAGAAGAACAATCATCGATTACAAAGTGATCAGCCTGCTGCAGGCAGGAGGAAGCATCTCCTCAGTCTCCCCGCCCCCCAGTGATCAGTCTGCTGCAGGCAGGAAGAAGCATCTCCTCAGTCTCCCCGTCCCCAGTGATCAGTCTGCTGCAGGCAGGAGGAAGCATTTCCTCAGTCTCCCCTCCCGCTGTAACCAGACTGCAACATTGTAACTTTGTCTCCCGTGACAAGATGAGAGGCTGCAGCAGGTGCTGATCTATGTCAGACATTTGTGTACACAGCCAAGAACTGCACAGGCACCAATCAGACTTCAGCTCTCCTCAGTTTAGCGCAGTCCATAAAGGGGAAAGATCGATTGTGATTGGCTGTCCCGGCTGACTGCATTTTACACACAGCTCTTGGCCCGGTGGAACGTCTGTGCTCATGTACGGAGACATTTACTTACTGGGACATCTGTAAGGCATCATTGACATAGGTGGAGGTGAGCGGGAGAAGGTCGTACACTCCACTGACCAGCAGCGCCCCTGAGGAGGAGAGAGGGAGGGAGACGGGTCACCGGACAGTCCAAATATTCAGCAAGTGAGGGCTGAGCGTCTGAGGGAAGGTTCCGCGGGAGGAATGTCGGGCGCGGCGGCGGTCACATTGTTACTTGTTGGTGCCAAATTGTCCCGATTGCAATTTACTAGCAAAGCGTCCTCCTTCCCGGGACAGGAAATGGGGGGGACCCAGAGGAGCGTTCCCCAATCACTTTTCAGTCATGGCACCCCTTAAAAGTATGCAAAATCTCCAGACACCCCCCAAAATCCGTACCAGACCCTCATACT